TACAGAACATTGCTAAAACTAAAGCCTCCCTCTATTTATCCCCCTCCCCTTATTGCCTGGCGTCTGGATTCTTCTCCAACTGGTGGTGACCTCTCTCCTCCCTCCCCCTCCTCCCCGAGCCCCTTCCTGGCTCTTTGGGCCCAGCTGCCTGACCAGCCATCAAGCCAGTCTAAATTGCCCATATATAGTTAAGCTGCTTCCCAGCTCCCATTACAACCATTAACAGCCACCCCCCCTTCCTTAGTTACAAGTGGCAGAAACAAATCACCCCAACTCCCAATGAATGCAATACAATGGAAAACAACAACAGTTGGGTGATGCAGGTTCTGACAGAAGGGTGATTGGCGGGGCCCAAAAGGAGAGCCTTCTGTGCTGTTGCCCCTACCCTATGGAATACTCTCCCCCCAGAGATGAGGTGGGCCCCCACTCTCCTGGCCTTCTGGAAAGGGGTGAAGACCTGGCTCTGCCAACTCGCATGGGGCAAGAAGAGGGGCAACCAAACCTGGGGGTGGCAGGCCCCTTGAAAATGCTCCCGTAACCTTTATTTACCATCAGTATCTTGAAAGACATTATTTACGCATGAACATGGTTTTTTTATTGTATTTTAATTAATATTTATTCTTGTTTTGCTGTAAACTGCCCAGAGTCGCTCTTGAGTGAGATGGGCGGCGACTACATTTGAAATGTAAAATAAAATATAAATAAAATAAATAAACAACCCAATGTCTGTGAAAGCTGAGATCCCACCCCAGGCAGGGAAGTGGGCTCCAGTGGTGCCCAGGGCTCTTGTCAAAAGTCCTCAGCAAACCAGCAGGACTTGATGAGACCCAGAAGCCACACCAAAAGGGATGTTCCTGCAAAAGCCTCCCTCCCCACCTCTTTCCGGGGATTTGGGGGAGAAGAGCCCCACAATCCAAACCTAAAAGGCTGCTGGTCCCCTTTGCTTCCTGGCCTCTGCTGACCTTGCCTCAATTTCTCTCTCATCATGAGCCTCTAGAACTGTGTTTCTCAACCTTGGCAGCTTGAAGATGTGTGGACTTCAACTCCCAGAATTCCCC